TGCCCAGAGTAATTAGCAGCAGTGCCATTAGTACTTCTCAACTGTCCATACTGGAATGGAGACTAGAAAAGCTGTGACCCTTGTTTTATAGTTACAGAATGGAAAGGTACTTTTCTGGCTCCAATGGTTTATGATCTATATCCAAAAGTGATCCTTAATGGTGTGAAACAAAGTAGACAAAAATTAAGTTATAAAAATTTTAGTTGTTGGAAAAACTGTAGTCTTAGGGTACTAATTAGAATATACACAGGTAAAAAATGCTTCGAGAAAGATTGGAAACTTAAGTCTTGCCTAAGTAATCCTTTTAATTGCTCTGAAATTATATAATGCTTCAGATCAGTGTCAATCCAAATCTCAAATACATGACCAAAATTAGCACTGAAATATGAATTTGTACATTTTTTTAGTAGATGAATGCCAGTTAAACAGCCTTGAGTGTCGATCTGTACTGTGTTTCATGTATTCTGCTCAGATAGAGTACATTGTTATTAGAAAATTATAAATTTAATTGTAATTCTCAGTTGGCATTTTCCTGCCCCTGTTGAGCTTAGTGATTCATAACAAATGAACTCGTGCCCAGCACTGTGAAAGAGAGAAGCGGATTCAAAGAAGGACACTTAGAACACAGCTACCTTTTTGATTTATTCATGCCAAACACCAGCCCTGCAGTAGGGTCACAAGGGAGCAGGTGTGTGGTTTTCTTTTTTTTTTTTTCCTCGAAAGAGGGTGTGAAGTAGTATATCTCTTGATGTTTGTACTATGAACACACCATGTGAAATATTTGTGTTTTTATAGCATGTTCAGATAGTCTAAGACATGATTAAGTTGTACTAGGTCAGCTGAAAATATTCATTTGATGTTTTCATCTTCGTAATTTGTAGGGGCAGAAAACAGTTCTATTTTGCTACATGAACTGAGTTGTTTTCCTCCCACATTAGAATGAATATTAGATAGAGAAAATATGAGGGTGCCCACTCAGGTAGAGTGATGCATATAAGAACATAAACTTGTGCTCAAATACTTGCATTTTACCCTTGGAGTCCTGCCGCAGTGCTGTAGCCATTGGACTGTGGGATTCTGTGACTACTACTTTCTCAGCCCAGTCCTTATTAAGGTGTTCATAGAAAGTGAACAGTTTTAACTGCCTCCTGGAAAAGAGTTTCCCTAATATGATACTTGAAGTATTTTTATCAAAATTGAAGACCTCGAACCTGGGCTTGTCACATCCAGTTAAATGTTCTCATTACTAGCTGTTCACAAGGCTCATTCTTGCTTTGAGCTGAAGGTGTATTCTGGTCCTCAGAAATTCTCATGACAATATTTGCCAAGAAAGTTTAACTTGCCTAGAAAATTTGATTTTGACAATTTACCTTTTTTTTTTTTTTTTTTCTTTTCAGTTTTTTTGTCACAGCTTTTCCCTGTTGCCATCCACCTTTTTGTTTTCCTCCAAAAACCACCCCCAGTTTATTTATTATTCTTCTTTCTTTCTTGGGAAGGCATGATCCATGTCGAGTCATTGCAATTCCACATACCGGCCACAGATTCCTGGGTGGATGTCAGTAAATTTGTCCAGATTCTTCCTCTTTTACGTAGTAAGTTAGAAGGCAGGGTCCTCATATTGGAGTAATAAATGTCACTATTTTGTGACCCATATCCATTAAGTTTTCATCTTAGATTATATTTATAAACCCTTAAAAAATTACACAACGTTCAAAACCTACAGTTTTATAATTTCTAATACTGATGCAAGTGCTGTAATAACCCACTTTTCCCAATCATATCCTACCTTCCTTCCTGTATTTTGGAAAACTGATAAGGGTATCCATTAAATTGTAGCACATGAATGATTCTGCTTAACTTTAGTTGTTCTTTCAGTCTTCCTTCTTTTAGTGCCTTTGTTTATAAAAATGCTTTGTTTGTTTTTATAAAGTTGATGTTGTTCACACAAGTGGTCTAGTGGTAGTATACCCCTTTGCTGGTATGTGATACATTCTGACATCTGTATGAGCAGTTTCAAACTTGATTTTGTGTCCAGAAAGTTTCAGATTCTTTCCAGATTGTCCTAGTTTAACATGTGGGAAACATGAAGCTATAACTCTGTAAAGGAGTTTCAAGAACTATTCATAAAGCAAAAAAATATAAAAAAATTAAATATTTCCGATACTGAAAAATGCATTTATGTCCTGTGCATCTTAGGTCTTTGACTATGACTTTGGACTTCAAGATGACTTTATTGGTTCGGCATTTTTGGATCTCACTGCATTGGAATTAAACAGGTATGGCACAAACAAGCTTGTGGAGTATTTCTTTGTGGTTGCCTGCTAGTATCCTATTTGTGGAATTGCAAATAGAACATTATGCTGGAAAATAATTATGTAAACCTACACCACATAAAACTAGCCAAGGAAAAACACTTATATTTGGAGAAGTACTGTAATACGGATGTTAATAATGTATAACAACATTTTTTACAGTCTGTGAAGAGGTTAGTTTTATAACCACTTTAATCATGTTTTTATATTATCTTAGTTCATAGCATTACCACCTACTGTTTAACTTACTTTTTCTGGTTTTTAATCCATTAATGTTACAGTTCAGATTTAATTACTTCATTACACGCAAGTACTTAAAAGAGTACCAGTATTTCATACTTATTTATGAGTGTTTAGACTGCAGTACTTAAAAGTAGAAATAGGGTTTGTGACACCATTTTCAAGCAGTTTCATATAAATGCAGATGATTTTAATTCTCATCATTCAGAAATTTCATTATCTGAGAGCCTGAAATTAAAATAAATACACATATATTTGTCTCCTAGGCAAACAGATGTTACCTTGAGCCTGAAGGATCCTCATTACCCTGACCATGATCTGGGAAGTATATTGTTATCAGTTCTGTTGGCTCCTAAAGAAGACCAGCGAGAAGCGGTAATTTTAAATATTTTAATATGTGTCATCCCTCTTGTGATTGTTCTGTGGTTGGATGACTTAAAGCACAAGAGTAAACCACATGTTCTGAGATTAATTTGATTTTTCCAAATATTTTAAATAATGCTGAGCAGTGTTTCTGGTATAGTACAGCATACTTCCTCTGAATTGGATCCTCTCAGAGGCAGCACTGAGGGATCCAGATGGAACACAAATGTTCGTCAGTTTCGATAAAGTTAGTTGCAGGTAAATGGTGCTGATTGATCTGTAAAAATATCAGTAAACTACTGGTGAAGAATTTTGGACCTAGTGCTGCCATCTCTAGATAGGAACATTTAATTCCTATTCCACACTGAAAAAAAAAGAAACTTGAAGAGCGGTAGTATTTCTGCTTTTTGCTCTCTAGTGATGAAGTATTATTTGATATTTTTCAATTTAATTATCAGATTTCAATTACAAAATTGTGTGGTTTTCTGGGTTTATTATAATTCCTTAATCAATCTTATTTTTCTGAGCTGGTTAGTTGTAAGTGAAAATAGTTTCCAGTTGTATAGATCCTGTTAGTTGTGATGAATTCTGTCTCTAGTTGGATATATTTTGTGATTTTTTTGTCAGTTGACTTTTGACTTGAGCAGTAGTACTACAACTATGGCAGAAGTAAGAGAGATGACATCATGCTCAGAGGTTGTAAAATAATGTGTATTCCTTTGGAGTCAAAGACACCAAGAAAAAAGTATCTGATATCTGGTCAGCTGTATGGTTTTTGTAAGAGCATATATGTTTCTGTATGCTGCAGTGTGACGCAGCAACCTTTCGCGTACCTGAGGAATATTGGCAGGTTGTAATATTGTTCTTCTTCCACTTTTCTCCTATTATTAAATAGCCTAGTAAGCCAGGTTATTGGAACTAGATGTTTGGTATTTGGTGTGACAGAGATGTAGTTTTGAAAATATGTTCCTCATCTGTTAATTTGCTTTGTGGCGTTCTGTTAGAACTTAACAAAAAACAATAGAAAATTGTAGTAATGTGTAGGAAGTTTATTTAAACAGTGTATTTTTCTTTCTTTTAGCAATATGTTTGTCCAGACAACTCAGAATACTATCTTGCAAATTTGCACTACAGAAGTGTTTATCCCTTAAATTGAAAAATGTATTTCATTCCCTTTTTTTTCTTTCTACATCTTTGCGTGTACTCAGTGAATTAGGAACTGAATGTCCAAAGTGATGGGAGCACCATAGACTTGCTGGCTATCTGCTTTTTTCATAGACAACTGACTGGTTGTGATAGGAGGAAGAGTTGGGCGTGGATTGCTACGTATTTCATTATTAGCTGCCTGTTGAGTAAGCTAATCCTTTTAGTTTAGCTCAAGTGACCAGTTTTTCTTTCAATTCAGACTGTTATCTGGGACTTCATTCTGAAAACGCCCCAGGTTCAGACTAAGATCCTGATTCCTAATGTGTGACTTTATTTTTATTGTTAGAAACCAGACTTCCCACAGTATGGATCTTAGAGTGGTTCTGACAAAGTTGCAGTAAAATCAGAGAATTTGTGTCACAATGCAGGGAAGATGACCTACAAAATTAATATTGAATTGCTGTATATGAACGTGTGAAGGGTTTAATAATTCAAAGCACAATTATATTTTTTTCAGTTACCACATGTACTTATTTATTTATTTATTAGATTTTATTTACTCTCTGTGGAGTAGATATATTACAAAATGTATCGCTCCAATTAAACTGTCATCCTTGGTTATTTTTAAAAAATCTTGCAATAATGAGGATGACTGTTATTGAATTTAATATGGTTGAGATCAAAAAATTTTCAAATGTTACATTACAGCTTCAAGGCTAATTCTTGCCCACTCTGGAAAAGTGCACCATATAAAGTACCAATTAAAGCAACTCCTACATTTCCAATCTGTGTAACCTGGTGTATGAATGATTACTGCTTCCCTCGTACTTGGATGTCTCTATATAGGTAGTAACTCAAATAGCACAGTTGAAATATACAGATGAAACCCGTGAGCACCTTTAAATAAGCTTTAATGACTGCTGCATAGAAAACACAGAAACACTGTCTCTTGGCGTCACGTGTATTCTTTTCCTAAGTTATTGGAAATTTTCTGAAAACCTATTGGTTTGATATCCCTATATAGCCTACATGTCAATAATGTATTTTGTTCTGAATAAGCTTTAATTTGTTTGGGTGATGCCTCTAAATTTCTTGCACATATTGTCATGTGTAAATGGTGTAAAATGGTTAAATCGCCAAGCTGAAGAATTCAGAAAAAATTAATTGCTACTACTTTGATTTCAGGTACTTTAATTCCATATATTTAAATGGGGCTGTTTATTAAGACCATTAGGGAAATAAAAAAAGGAGCAGCTTCAGTGGAAGAAATATTAGCTTTCCCATATAGCCATAGAAGCCACATTGTGTCTGATCCTCTATTTTGGGCAGCCCCATAGCCATAACCCAAACCCAGCCCTGTTGAACAAGATTTGCTGTTTGTGATGTGTCGTTCGGAAGACTTTTGGTGCAGAGAAAGTCTTTGCAGACTTGCCAAGAAGATCCCTTCACTGCCTGAACTGGAGTGACTGAGAGTGTTTCAGAGGTCCTGCATTGATGTGCAGAGAAAATCAAAGTATTTTTGATGTGTTTGTGTAGCTAGAGGACAGGTCTTGTAGCAAAGCGTTTTATCAGTGTATCTAAATAACATAGCTGTGTATTACAGGGAGATGCATCCAGTCACACTGCACAGGAAATATTGATGCTGTTCACACCCGTGCTGTAGGATAAGGCTGGAATTTGAAGTTAAATAGTAGAAAATTGGGGTGTTATTGGATACTGCCGCCTGTCTGTGAGAGAGGTGTTATTACAGATGGTTTAAAAAAATAGCAATCAGTTTGAAAGTAATTTTTTTGTTTTGTTTTGGATGGAACTGTCTCTTGTGAAACCTCGAGGTGTGCAGGATGAGAGAGAGATTTGGTACACACAGGAGCGTTATCTTGCTTATCTTTCTGAAATATGTTCTGATGAAATGGATGTTTTCCGTGTGCTGACTGATGAGATGTTCTTTAGAATTAACAGCTGGAAGGTCCCGTTTCCTAGGATCAAAACAGAATGCATCTTTAGATTCAGGTATCAATTAAGAATATTACTACAGGGATATGTTCATGTAACTGTGTGTAAAATGATATAACAGGGTAGGGGAGAGGAGTCCTGCTGGACTGTGAAAACAGCGCTTAAATAGTTTACAATTTGTGTTTTTCCAGTAGAAGAATATTGGATGTGGTTTCAATTAAAGGAGATTCACTATACTAGTTTCATAAATAAGTGCACACTATTTGTTTTTGCAATACGTTTTATTGGAAGAAAATGCAGAAGTGGCTTGCAGTTATCACTGAATATTAATGTAAGAGTATGGGCAGGTGAACAAAATTTGTGTGTAAGTAGCTTTGGCTTTTGTCACCTAGTGCTTGTTCCAAAGGCATAAAAATGTGAACTTTTAAAACAATGAACTTGTAATACCGCATTTAAACTGTGTACATGAGTAGAAGACAATCTGTTGTCTTCTGATTTTTGAACAATTATTAATTGTGAATCAAAATTGATGAATGAATGATTCTTACACAACCATAAAAATAAGAATGTCTTTAGTGTTGGTGAAAAGTATAATCCATTTCCAGACTGACACAACTACGTTGCAGTAGCACTAGTTCCAGTAATTCATTTGCATTTGCTCTGTGCTGTTAACAATGTCCTTTACGTTAATGCAGCATTTTTAATTATTTTGCTTTGAGAGGAGAGAGAGCTTAGATAACTAGTGTAAACTAAGAAGATGTGAAATAAATGAGTGTGGGGAAAGTATGTTTATACAAAAATGTTAAGAACTGTGACCTCTAAAAAATTTTATTTTCTCTCTCTTTGAAAAAATAATGTGGTTGTGATGTACTTTCTGTATCTTTCATTAATTTCTCCCTTTGATGACCAGTTTAAAAGAAGTCAGAACTAGCCATGACTTGATTTTTTTTCTTAGACCAGCTCCAGTGGAGTTTGTTTCATTCAGACAGTATTGTGTTAATATTTCCCTTTGGATATGTGTAGTGCTGTGCATGCCTGTATGGCATTTGTCGTTGCATGCATGCCAGTGGAAAATGTGTACATTGCATCTGGAGGTTCTGTGTTTGGTGTTGTCATCGTGGGTGCCGCGGTGCATGTGAGTTTTTCTGGTTCTTTCTCCAGCACGCATCAGCGCACATATTCCATCCCTGGAGACCTTGCAGTGTGACTGTGGGTTCACCAGAGCTGCATGTCTCCCCTGCCTTTCTTGCAACACTTCTTTCCAACCTTGTTCTTCTAGGCAACTCTCAGCTACAGGAAATCAGAAAATTGGCAGCTTGATGAGAACTGTTGCCTTGGGGCCAGCAGAGGTTGGGGTCTACAGTTCCACCACTTCCAACGGCCTGAGTAGAATTGAAAATGGAAAAAAAGAAAATATGAGTGCTACTTGGGTGTTGTTATTTAATGAGAATAAAAGTCACGGGATTGGTTTTTTTCCTTAAATAGTTTGTTCTAAGTGATTAAGTGATGCTTAATACTTTTTTGCTTCATACGAAAATATTAACATTAATATGCTGTCAATTTGCTTGCTGTCTTAAATCTTATGTGATTTTTTTTTCTATTTATCAGAGGGATCATAGCAGCTTAGCAAAAAAAAAAAAAAATTACAGAGATGGACTCAGGGCGTGGAATATTTTCAGATGAAATAGTTCCATGTAGGTCACCCATCATAATCTGCCCTGTGCTATGTATTTGTTTTATTGGCTTCTAAGGATGGTCATGATGGCTTCAGCTTATCCTGCTACAGCTGGTGATGATACTGATGTACTCAATTAGTACGGACATGCATTTTTGTAGCTGCTACTCAAACTGAACTCCTCAGACTTGAAATAATATTTGATGTGTAGTTAATTCAGCCATCAGGACGTACTCTCCTTGCTCACAGCCTAGTCCAAAGCCCAGTGAGGCTGAGTTTGTGCTCTGACTTGTAGCTGTGTAGAATTCATCAATGAGGAGGAAGGAAGGTGCTATGGCATGTTCCAGGAACTCAATTCTTATGTGCCTCTCCTATAAAAATTAGCTAAATGGTTTTATTATAAAACGTTTAATGTCTATGTATACTTTCCAAAGCCACAGTGCTACAATTATCTTTAACTTACCACAGAGGCTTTAGGCTTTAATTGTCCATAGCAACTTAAAAATTTTCCTCAGCATCTCATTGGTTTTATTCTCCCAATAAACTGTGCCTATTTGTAAAGTTTCTGGATATTTAGAAAATATAAACCCCATATATTTGCTCCCATTTTCATTTTTTTGCCCCCATGTAATACTTTTGTTTCTTAGCAGGGAACATGTTTGCATTCCAAAGTTTATTTCCATTATCTGAAAAAGAAAGTGGTTTTGCAATGGTTAATGAAAAAAAAAAAAGTTTGTTTTTCATTACACAAGGAAAGTTTCAATAGAAATTAATGGTCTTTGATTTATTCTTGCTCAGTGTCAACAACAGGCTGCGAAATTCTACCAAATTGTACAAATTAATTTCTCTGTGTTTCCACAGAACTGCTTTAAGCAACAGTTGTGTTCACAGATAAATTGTCCACATCCTTCTTGACCAGGTTGTCTCTTTCGTTTAATGATTAATAGTCTGTGTCTGTGGACACGTTGCCTCCCAGCATGTCAGGGCGTCGTCTCTAGCAGTGCCAAGGTTTTGCAATTATTGAGGTAGTGGGATAGATCTACTGCATTTGGGGTTTTTTAAACAGCCAAGGCATGAATTTTTTTCTATCCCATGTGCATAATTATAATTTTTACTGTTGTGATGCTAATTGACACTGGTAACCTTGAGGATTTTGTAGTAGATGCTTGTTATCCAAGGAGCCTTATGCAGTATTTCTCTTATGTGGCTCCCCCTGCGTGCTAAACAGTAACATTACAAAAAATTGGAGTATATTAATATTAAAAAACCCTATCATTCAAGTATCAGTCAAAATTGAAGTCACTGTTAGTAATGGCACATTCATTTTTTCATTTGCTTGTCTATTATTTATTTTTTTTTTTTTTTTAATGCTTTCACATCTTTGGCAATGAGACATTGGTACCACCCAGAAGAGAGTGCCTGGGTGTGAGCAGCAGTGCTAGTTGTCTGGATTTATTTCAGTCTCGTGTTAGTTGTTGCTGGAGTGTACGTGTTGCTTCAGTTGTAGTGGTGGTTGGATGTGGATTGTCCCATTGGAGACAGGTGGCCTCCTTTTCTGTCTTGTAGAGAAAAGGTAATTAAAATGCTCTATTTTATTTTCAGACAATGCTAATGAGGAAGAGTTGGAAAAGATCAAGTAAGGTAACTTTTAGCATGTGGTCTTCTGGCTTTGTGTTTGGTTTTTTTTTTGTTGTTTAGAAGAATTATGACGTTTTACCAAACATGCCATCTGGGACTGGAAGCTTGTGGCACAGAATTTATTCTCCTTCAAATTGTGTTTTAGTGACATTGTTTTGTGTTTCATCAAATCAAAATCATGAAGCAGTTGATCTTTTAATGTAATCGTTAAACCTCTCAACTTTGTTGTAGCATTATAACCTATTTTGAAGTGATCTAGTAACTTCATCTAAGTCACAAATGTATCCTGATTCTTTTTAATTTAATGTCTTTAATTTCTCATGTATAAACAATTTCCTTAAAGCTTACTTGTTCACAGAGAATCCACGCCAAAGGGTGATTTCCATTTTCCTATTACTTACTACTCTTACTAGTTGGAGTTTTTGTGTGGGGAAGTTTTCAGAGTGGTGCTTCTCATAGGGAAATTTCCCCAATTGATGGAAGTGCACAGTTGGCAATCGCATTCAAGCTTTCCGAGAGCAGCATGCTTGAGGAATCAGCTCTCGCTCTCTGCTTCATCCAGCTCTTTAGGTGCCTCTTCAGGCAAATTCAGTATCTGGCTTTTCTCCTCTTAGGAGTTCTGAGTGATAAAAAAGGAATGGTTTACACTTTCCACTAGGGAAAGGCCGGGAGTTTCACTGCAGTAATACACAATTCATTTTTGTCTTTTTCCTGTATATGTCTCCAAAAAACTAAAGAAAATGTGTGTATTTCTCAGCAGTTTTCTGGCCACTCTTAGCTACTGCTGCCATACTACTTTCAAGTTTTAAACCTTCTTATTATTTGCATAATTTAAAATAACATTACATTTTCTCAAAGATTTGAGCTGGTTTGGTAGATCTGTGGTTTTTTGAGATACTGTAATGTAAAGGTGTTAAAATGAGAAAAATTAAATAACTATATAGGGAGATTTAACTTATTTTGTAAAGCAGTTTACTTCTCAAGCATATATTGATGCACAAATTTAAATAGAGGTTTATTAATAAACTGTTGTATGTAGTGCTCGCTGACAAATATCTGCGTAATTTTTTTTACCATTAAAGAAAAAGAGCAGGGTTCATAATTACTGGTTATAGGACAGTACTCAGTCTCACCTCTTTTGAAATCTGCGAAGCAAAGCTTAGTATTTTGAATTTTTTAGTAGTATTTTGACTCTCATATTGTTCGTCTAACTTTTCCCGAAATATCTGAGATGCTCAAACTTCTGCAGAGTTAAGGAAGTGCAGTGAGGCTGGTGAACGACACCTCTGTTCTGCATCATGCCAGTGATCTGTTCACTACTGATGTGCTGAATGTGTTGGATGACAGTTTGTAAAACTACTTTATTAAGAACTTTACCATACTTCAACTTTCAAACTAACACAACTGTGAGCTTGGATAATCCTGAATGAATGGCACAACATGATAGCTGGGAATTCTTCAGAGCTCTTCAAGTTAATTATTTATCCGTGTTCTCCTTTGTTACATTCATTTGATAACATTTCAGTAGTTGCCTTTTTTTTGCAAAGGAGCATATCAAAAGATTTGGCAGATAGAGAATGTATGAATTTAAATATTGCATTTTTCTGTTGATCTCAGCTGAAGTAATAATTTGACCTAGAGATGTAATACAGGTACAACATCTTACAAGCACCATTGTGTGTCCAATTACTATACAGAAGTGTCACAGTTAAACCACAAGATCGTATTTTCCTTGTGGGGCTGTTCCAGAGTTCCAGATCTTTGGTCTGCTCTCAGGAAAACAAATTTTAAAATCTTTCATTTACAAAAAATTCCTTCAAAAAAAAAAAAATTGCTGTTCTTTGGGGTGCAGGATGATCAATATTACAAAAGACATCATTTTCAGATTTAACAAAGAATGTCTAGAAATAGGTACTTGATGCTGTTAGGTAATAGAGAAAGTGTCCTAACTGAGATCCTTCTTCTTCGGGAAATGTTTATGCTCCTGAGAGCTGAGAAAGAGCAGAATATCGACATTTTTTAGAGATATCATTGTAAAATTTCCTAAACCTACTTTTTTTTGCTCTTTAGAGTCTTTAAAATGATACTTCTAGTAAATTAATTTGATTTTAAAGGTTATGACAGTATCTTTTACTTTTTAGAATTTATGTGCTAGAAGCCTACATTGTCTGTAACGTATGTAACTTGAAGTTAAGGTATAGCAGTGCAGACCTGTGTGGCATTGCTTGTGTTCATGAACTGCATTGCTTGCACATAGTTCCTTGGGCCAGTGTAGTAGCTGTGAAAAGAACGGTAACTAACCTCCTCCATTGCAGTATTACTGCAATCACGTGCTTGCAAACAATTACTTTAGCCAAATTCAGAGTCTCTGCTTCAAATACTGCTCTGCCTGTGCACCCTAAAGATGAAGTTAACATCTCATGAAACACCCAGGTCAATGTGGCTGAGCTTTTTTTCCTTTTTTTTACTATTTTACAGCATGCTAGTGTTGTAAACATTTGTTAGTGGTGCTGCAAAAATGCAACACCACTTTTGCTTTTGTTGTTAGATTTTATTTTTTCTGTTACTGTTGTTTGGGGGTTTTTTGTTTGTTTGTTTTGGGTTGGTTTTGGTTTTGTTTTACTTTCCCTATCATGTTTTCTTTATTCCAGACATAATCTTGATCAAAATTCACGGGAGCTAGATCACTCCCTGCACTGTCTAGGTCAGAAAGAATACTCATCTTTCTCTGCATCTAGCAAAAATGAAATTAAAACAGTTTTGAAGTCAGAGCATTTTTATGTTCTATGAAAAGGAAAGTCAAAGCTCCTGTCTTCAGCGAAAGGAGACTCCCGATGGGCTATTTCAAAAAAACAAAGCTATTTATTAAAAAAAAAAAAATCTGCTGGAAAGTTACAATTTGCATTCAGTTTGGAGTTGGTTGTTTCATTTCATCCACCAAAAGCTTGGTGTTGCATTAAAGCTATCTGGTGGCCAGTGACTATGACTTCACGGGTGGGCTGTTTGCTGCATTGTGTGGGAGAGGAAGCAGCTCCATTTCTACCGCTACGTCTGTACTAAGGTTCATTACACTTCAAGGAAAGGTAGAAGTGGCTTATTCACTGTTTCATGCACTTTTTTGTGTGTTTTTGTGTTTCCAGCACAAGGCAGCACAAATGGATTGGGAAGAGTTGTTTTATTCTTTTTCATCTTGTTATGAAAACACTAGGAAAAAAATAAATTCTAGCTCCTTATTTTCTAATTCTCTGCAGCACAGAGGCTTAATCAATGGCTGAGGAAAGGGTGTAGGAAGGGAGCCTATTAAAATGTTCGCAGCATAAAACAGAGTTAGAAATGCACATATTGCTCTCTTGTTCCTCGTCATTTTTGCAGGATTCAGTGCAGTGCTGTCAAAAATAATAGTTAAAAAAGCTTAAATTTTTCTTAACCATTATTAAGCCTAAAGCTGATGACAGAGGAAAGAAGAGACTGTTTAAACACAGTATTTTTCCTCTTGTAAAAAATTAAGTTTTTTTTAATTAAGTACTTCCTCCTTATTCTTCTCTTAGCTTCTAATGATGAAATGTCATTACTTTTGCCGTACCCTTACTACCAACATTTTAAAAAGATAAAATCTACTGATTCTACCACTTTTCAATGTGAAAGGGTGTCTAACTTTAAAATCGAAAGCATAAGTACTAAACTTGGGATCAATGAAGCTGTAGTTGTCATTCAGCACTGATTTATATGTTAAAAAAAGTGTAGTTTCTAGCCCAAATCAAACCTTTCCCCTGATTATAGCTGGAATTGGGGAAGGGGAAGAGCCTGAATGTTTGGGTTTTTTTAGTTTTTAAAAAAATATTTATTTTTAAAAAGGTGCTTTTCTTGCAAAATGTCAGGTATTTTATGGTTGTTGCCTCCTTCTAGTAAGTGTTGTCTTTGCAGATGGTACTCCCTCAAAAGAGTTACTGTTAAAATTTTTAGATAAACACATAAAAACTTGTTTTGAATGTTTTCTCCTCACTGTGCTGAGTGGGACAGTTGGAGGCAAAAAAAAATGCGAGACAAGGAACTTTGGAAGATAGCAGCAGTGTCTCTGGAGGGCAGGTATTGGTGGACAGACCAAACCTCACTGCCCCGGATTTCAAGTGTGTGCAGGGTAGGTGTGAAAAAGACAGAAAACAGGATTAACAGCCTGAAAAGTCTTCCTATCATAAGGTGGGAACAATGACAGCTAAACTGTGTTTGACAGGTCTTTGTTTAATCTGTCCTTAAAAATCTGCAGTGATGGATAGTACACAAGCTCCCCAGAGAGGCGGTTCTAGTGTTTAGCTATCATTTCCATTAAAGGCTGTTTTTGTGTCTGACAGTATCTCCTATGGTGCAAATTAAGTGCATCTCTTCCCACAACAACGATGGATATGTTTTATCACAGCAATTTAGGCGTAGTTTATATACATTTATAGTGAGTCTGAAAAACTTGATTCTTTGAATCGTGTGTGTATGTATGTATATATACTTAATTCAGAGGGAAGTTTTGGCGTGCTCAAATACTAGTGATTGGGAGCGTGTAAGAGGAAACAAAACACTGGTATTTGGAATGAAGTTTTACTGTGAGAAATTAACAAGTCTGGTGGGTTGACCCCAGCCAGCAGGAAGCCTGATCAGCAGTAGCCAAAACCTTGCTGTGTTATCAGCACTGGTTTAGCCACAAACACAGACCATGGCACTGTACAGATTGCTGTGACGAACGTGAACTCTATCCCAGCCAGACCCAGTACAAGGTCAGGTGAAGCTATGTGGTTAGACTGGTTTGCTAACACCCATTGCTGGATGTTCACTCACTGATAATTGTAGAGCATGGCGGAAGCCTCTTCGTAAGGACAAGAACTGCACTAGCAATTACAGATACTCTATATGTCTCCCCACTTCTGATGCAACATAGAATCATAGAATGGTTAGGGTTGGAAAGGACCTTAGAGACCATCGAGTTTCCCCCCGCCCCTTCCATGCAGGGACACCTC